ACGAATACATTTATATTCACCTATTACCAATTTACTAGTATATGAATATATATGTGCATTATTTAGTCCATCGAAAACTTACTGTTACAATCTATAACAATGTGTGCATTTTTGTTTCATTTTTGAGTAGTGTATTGGCATGTCTTTCTTTTCTGTATTTGTTATGTGAGCTACATTCAATCATTCATTTACTTGAAGATGAAAAGCATCAACGCCACTATTACTACCTTTGCTCTTTCGTCTACCGAAAAGGAAAAAGACAGAAACGAAAAAAAAAAGAAGAAAAAAAAACGGCCCGAAATCACTCAACTTACTTAATAGTAAAAAAAAGAAAAGCGATGCAGATAAAAAGAAACAGCAATATCGTTGTTATTATTTGCTGCTACTACGGCTTGTGTCGATAGACAAATCAAGTAATAATACCACGCCGACAGTGCATGTTCTGCCCCTTCTCTCTTTTTTTTCCTTCTATTCCTAAAAAACCACACGCGACAGCTGCCCTCGAGAATATATCATCAGAATATGATGAGAGAAATGAAAAAAAGTAGGAAAAGACAAACTATAGCCTTGCTTCATCGGGAAACAACGGGGGCGCTTTATTAGCTATACGTGGGCGAAAACATAGAAAAAGAATAGAAGTAGTTTTTCCACTCACTGTTTGTTCTTACTCGCAATGACGTTTGCATTTCAAAGCGCAAGAAAAAGAAAAGAAAATAGACAACTTGTTGAGTTAGTTTACTACAGAATTTTCGAGAGTCGACATGATATAAAAGTATTTTTTATTGATTATCAATAAACAATCAATAAAAACAAAAACTAATATAATAGAGAGTAAGAAAAAAAAAATAAAAAATGCGAAGACACTACTTCGTTAAGGTGCAAACGAAGAGACGTATAACGTGAAAAAAGATAGTTTGATAAGAAGAAAAAAAAAAGATAGCCTGGTAAAAGATTCTATGAATATAACAATAAAAAAAAAACAAATAACCTTGTAAATTTTTGTATTTAAAATTTAATCTTTTCTCTATTTTTTTATCTGGTCATTTATATTTATTTCAAAATGTCGCTATATAACGACCTTCATACAAAAAATATTCGATAACTACGGGCATTTATAGTAAATGCGTCATTTCCAGTATACGAAATAAAATGAAAAGAACAATATACTGTTCGCATATACCGCGAGTTACTATTTGTTGAAAAGAAAGTTAATACATTAATTTCTTTTTTTATTTACGAATGAAAAATTTAACGTCCTTCAATCAAGGCTAAAACGTTGTCTGAGACGCAATCAAGGATTATTTGATTCAATTTTTTTAAGAGAGCCTCCATGCGAATGTTGACAAGGAGTCCAATATACGAAGCACATATTCAAATTTGTTTTTTTTTTGTAATGCACATTCGAAAAAAAATCATTCAAAACTAAGTTCTTAGTTCTTTTTGATTCTCTATAAAAAAAAAGAGTTAGCCTATATACTAACTCACAATGAAGAAATGTCTACTAGGATTATACTTCAATAGTTTACAGAATTTTGGGTATTTGTTCTCGTTCGTAGTAGCAGGGATAAAAGTTACATGTGAATATTACGTTACATCATCAACTGATAAAAAAGTACTTTATTGTCGTTATCTATGGTGATAACGATTTGGTTTGAACAAGAATCTGATGTGATCATAAAATGATTGCGAGATAGTAGTGCGAAAATCGAACATATAGTTGATGGTTGAAGTATGCACACTAAAATAAAAATGTGTCTTGACCACCTGTCTGCTAACTGTTCATTCATCGTTTTGTCTATATAGTTACATTTAACCAACTTAGTCAAATATATTGAACTTATATATATATTCGTGCGTCATTTTTTCTAGATAATCGAAATCAAACGAACTCGAGACAGCTATATGTCAAGATCTAATTACCTAAACTTTAAGAGTAGATATCACTAATTCGAATTAAATTGACAAAATAGTAATTATTCACATCTGCAGAAAAAATGACAAATGCCCCGAAGCCTGGATTCGACCCACATTTTCGACATGTGTCGTAAAGTACGATACACGTGACACATTTGATGTTTGTGTGTGTGTGTCTTTAACGTAGATTTAGTTATATATAGTGGGCTATAAAGATTAGCACTGTAATCAATAAACGAAATTGAATAGAAGAAACAATCTTGTCGCTAATGTGCGTTTTATTACTTTTGTAAACGTAAGCTCGGTTTTATTCAATAATACTAACTTCATAAAGGTAGCAGAAGAAAATAAGGAGAACAAGAGAAACTCCCAGAAAAGAAGATGTATGCGTACATATATAAATACTCAGATGAACATATTTTACAGGGTTGTACAAGTATCTTACTATAAGATCATAGTTTTAGATCTCACTGATACAAATAGTTGAATTGATAATAGATCTTCTATGTAATACTGCTGATATGCTAACAAATTACTTCACAGATAAGTTGATTAAATAGAAATAGGTTTTCTTTTGTTTATATTTTTTTTATTTTAGATCATTTTAATGATCAAATTCAATAAGAATAAAATTTTTTACATGTATCTTAAGTGCATATTTTTGTTTTCATTGAGCTTTTCTAATTTCTATAAGTAAATAAATATATATATATGCGAGTAAGTATAAAAGACTCTTAAGAAAATAAGATGACACAAGACGCAAATAGAAGAAAATCAGCAATGCAATATTGTGGAAAATTCTGGAAAATCATGCATGATTTGTATAAGATTTGACATTAAGATTGTACAGTATGATTTTATCAGAAATGGTAGCTTTAAAATTGCTACATAAAATTATACAGTAAGTTTTTCTATAATCTTGTATGAATCATACAAAGTCTTATAATGGGGTTGCTTGATCTGGTTATGATAAAAACAGTATGGAAATCATTAGCATATATGACAGGAAAGGGCAAATGTATTTACGCATTAGATATACACGTACAAGAGGACAGGAAAAAAACCAACAAACGATAAATTACCGTTGGTAGAAAAAAATACAATATATGATGAATTTAAAACATATTGAACAAATCTTGAACAATAACCAGGTGAAAAATCTCAAGAAAAACGATCTTAGGCACTTCTTAATGTCTTTCATTCATAGAAGTTTTCATCTCGAAGGAATTAAAATTTCATCTTGTACACACAGTTCTTTCAAAAAAATAAAAGAGCTGTACATTTCACTCATACCTCTATTACGTCCGATAATAACATTGATGTGTGTAGGTGTTTTATTATGTTTGATCTTTGATCACATTCCTCTCTGTAATTTCACTTCCCTCCCTTTAGTTGCAAATAACTGACATTTATATCAGATGTTAGAAGAAAAGCGAAATTTACAAAAATAGATAATATAAAATGATTGAAAAAAATACATGAGTTATCATATGGAAATAAGAATGTAAGTCAAAGAATATATCAAGAGAAAATATAATGGAAAAATACCTGACTGAAGGACAGAAAACGAACATATGTGAAAAATATCTTTAACAACTTTTTCTTATGGCACATCATATCTACGTGCTATAACAACCTCTGAAGGAGAATGACATGACTTTAATGAGGATCAATCTTATATCACCGAATTAAATAATGGACTACTATCATATAGTTGTGATCTGTGTTTCAAGCTCCATTGTTTTTGAAGAGCATAATTTCATTACAGGAAAAATTTCGTTTTCAAAATTTCTGTGTCACTCAAAAATATGCATGGTGTGGAAAATCCTGTTCTTTTTTTAGAAAGAATTGTGTGTACAAAATGAAATTATAACTTTTTCGGGATGAAAATTTCAATGAATGGAGTATACTAAGCACTGCCTGAAATAGAGTATCAAAATGAGTATAAAAAATTGGTTTCGCATGATGCTCTTTCGAATATGCATAAAAAACCCGGATTTCAATGTGTACCTTGAGTCATTGGTGCCCTTATGGTTAAAGTGTAAATGAAAAATTTGCTCATGATTTTTACAAATGTTTCAGCGTATGAGATCATCGTGAAGAAATAAAATGTTAGACAATACTAAACATTAGCTCAGAAACATAAGGAACATTAACTCTTATAACATTCTACTGAAACTCATATTTAGTTTATTACTCTATGAACTAGACTTAGCTTAAAGAAGATATCCTTATATTTTTATCTAATAATTCCTGTTAAATAAGACAAATAATTTCCTGTAATTTAATGTTGTATTGTTGAATATTCGATGGATGATTGAGTATCTTTGTTGACATAAAATCGAGGTTCTTCATTTCTAAAGATGGTTTTGTTTCCCTCCACGATTTGTACTGTTCAAAGTTGGATAATATAGATGAGAATGATTCAAAATCTTCTTCATCAATTATTTTATATAAATCGAATCTGAAAAAAAAAGAATATTTATTGAGATTTTTCTTTCTTTGAAAACTCAAAATTTAAAATATTGACAGTTTCACTCGTTAACTACATGATTTTGCAAAATAAAAATGCATATATCTCTGTAGTCTAAACCTTGCTGTGACTAACTTTTATGCATCGAATGTATATTGAGTTACTCTAGATATCACGAAAAACATCAGCTCTACATATCTGTGTTTCGTCGAGTTATTATTAAAAAATGAAAATACCTACACTCATCCACATCCAAAGTCAGATCTTGTAATCCTTCGATCTTTCTGTCTTAAGGTTAGATATTTAATCACGAATTATATTTTAATTAAATCACTAATTAAGTTTACTTTGATATGAGCTGAAAGAGCCAATATTTTTATATATGTTCATGACAAACGAGCTTATTTAAAATAAGTCAAAGATAAACATGTCCAGTTTTAACTGATTTTGTCTATATATTTTTCTTTTTCGCAATAGCTTTTCTGAAAAATGAGAAATAGAGTTACTATATTAGAAATAAAAAAGTATTCAACTTACTTCATCATTTTTGTTAATATAATAATCTTTTAAGAAAAAGAAAGAAATTTATTAAAGTAGAAAAAATATACAAAATCTATTCCGTTGAATAAATCATCATTTCTTTTCGTAATTTATCCAGAGTGAGTTTATGTGATAACAACATAGTTTTTCGTATATAATATTTAAAAATCATCCATGATTTACCATGAAATTGATCTGTTATTATTGTTGTTGTTGGTTTTAATGTATTTCTATGCATACAATATTGATGATGTGCATGCATTATATTCAATTGTGTATCAACAATACTTGTTAAACAATTATTTTCTCGATCAATATTCATTTGTACATAATATGTTGATGGAATATTTATTCTAAATGATGGAATAAATGGAAAACGATATGTTATTTCATAATATGAACAAGTAGAGTTAATTTTTTTCAATTCTTTTATATGAATAATAAAAGGATGCAATTTCCATACATGATTAACAAGAACATCAAAAGTAGTAGTTAAAGGAGCATCAAGAGATATGATTTGTTTACCATCAAATGGTATTGAATATATTGCAATAGCAATGCATATTGGGATTATAAGAAGTAATAAACGACGATTTTCAAAGAACATTTTCATAGAAATGAAATGATCATTAAATGAACAGATCGATCGGTCAAAGTATTAAACCAATGTTACTATTATATTCAACAGTGGGCGCTAGAATCTGGTTGTTGCAATAACATTGAAATATATCACGTAGAAACATATGTGGGTAAAAATAATGCTTACTCATAAAATTATCTTATGTCATATTATCATAGCAACTAAGGCACTACGTCCGGGTAGAACTATAATTGAATCAAAAGTAAATCAATTATTATTGTATGCAAGACAAAATTCTTACATTTGAGAGTAATGTTGACATCGTCTATCGTACATGTTAATCTATACTAGGATAAGCACTTACAGAAAAGTACCGATATGTTATAATAAATATACTCACTAGGGATTCTAGTAACATTTATTTGCTTATCAAGATAAGGATTGATCTTTCAACAGATGTTTTATCATCATTTTTCTATATATGACTATATTGTAGTCTCTATGATTTTTCTTCAAAGACTGAAGTTGTTTAGTGTATGACAATACTTTCATCTCCTGATAGAATAGTTTATTTATTTATAATAGCAAGAGAAAAAAAAAGATAGTATATCAAGACCTATCAAATTCTTATCTTGAACGTCATTGTCATTTAATAGTTCAAGATAAATCAAAATTACATTGATGAAATCCAGTTCGCCGATAACTCGATCATCATGAACGCAACCTAATATTTATCCTAAGAAGCTATGAATACCTTGAAAAGCATTCCGGTCCTTAGCTTATTGCTGGAGAAATATTTCATTTTCAGGTTTTTTTGGTCTCGTCGGATACACTAGAAAAGTTAATTTTCGAATTTTAATTGATCATACATGACATAGTTTTTACTATAGCAAAGTCTAGAATTTATTATGTGGTGTTCAAGAGAAGGGCAAATCGCTAGAAAATGTATTCAAACTATGTCAGCGAGTTCCATTTCTCAAGATGATACCGACGTTTTTTAATCTTTAACATGACCTTCGGTTCATCTGGAGTAAGTTTCACAAGACAGTGATTTTGACAATTTCGCTTCCATCGTTTACTCGAGATAATGAAAACTTTTCATGCGACAGAACCGATTCTAAGTGTAGTGACATCTGCACTTAGACTGTTGTTAGGACTACGATAAGCTGTTTACTTCTGCTACTCATAGCGTAACAATGATATATATGTAACTTAAGTGATATAATTTGTTTTGGTTTCAAATCTGAGAGTTTCCTACAAAAAAGAGATTTCCTACAAATCCATGCTGTTAAAACAAGTTTTACCTTCTTTATTGTGCGAAAATATCTGATTAAATAGAATCTCTAATGGAGTTGGTTGTACTATTTCCAATCACATATTGGACAATAAAATTAGTTAAACACTATGGGAATTAGATAGAGCGCAAGTTGTTCTATTGAATCATATGTTGCAAAAATAAGTGATTGGGTACTTTTGGAAGAATGAAAAATGGCATGCTGTGATTGTATCTTCAATAAAAACTAAAAAGATCAATTGATTTATGTGAAATTCTTTTACTAGTATACTAGAGTCTATAGATCTATTGCGTAGTTTAATAATTTCGATGGCTCCTGCATTTCCTGATAGTCGAAACAGTGCTCTATAATTCGATAAGATTTTGCCATTCTCCAGTTGATGTACTAGTATAAGAATTTCGATCAAAGATGCTCACCTCTGATTTATATAGATAAGGAAAACTTTCACTTCTACAATAAATCCCATATTGTACTATATATTCAAGCGAGAGTTATTCATGATAAACTATATTTTATTTTCGGCAGTCAGGCTCCATTTCCTAAAACATTTGAAAGATGATATGAATAATTTTGTGGAGATCGAAACAAAAATGAAATATGAACTATCAAACTCGTAATGCGGACCAAATCTTTTGGGAGCATCATCAAAGTCAGCTGTTACGATATCGAGCTTGCTGTAATCTTTTTAAGTTTACAAAGATCAGAGATTATTTATTGGATGGTTTCATGATTCAGGCTAGTTTCNTAGGAAATATTAAATCTTTGTGTTGACTAATTGTTCCAAGTTTTTTTGCAAACCACTGTATATATATGGTACACTAATAAAATAAAATGATCTTTTATAAAGATAGTTGATTACATGGCATCATTCATATATCAAGTAATCACCTAAGAGAATCATCAATCGAGAAGATAATACAACTCAATAGAAAACGCAGTAGTTTTAGAAATCAGGTAGACGAAAATTCATTAGCTAGGTACATAGATCAACTGTGCTGTCATCTTTGCCGTAAATAGTTGTTGAAAATTTTCGACATTCAGAATCAGTTTTCATGGAAGTTCGTATTTAAATTTCTTATTATAATTTTTTCTACTGTCACTGTCTTGCTTTTTTCATTTGAAAAATTTTCAATTGTCGTCGTCGATTAATACATCGATTTACATCTCTCAATATGATGTATCGATTACTCTGAAACATCATTTACACCCACACCCTTCTCTCATTTCATGTATTGCTTAGATAAGATTAAATAAAATCGTGTGACTATTATTATTATTTATTCTGATTGCACAAATGAATATATATACTCATTTAGAAATTTATCAAATGAAATATTTGATTATTTCCATGCACTTAATATTTTTACTAGTTTTACTTCATTGAATCAACGAATTTCATCTATTTTGTAAGCGATTCTACTTCGTTTTATTATTTCACATAATAATTGTCGTCGTCAAATTGATTTTCTTTCTTCTTGTCTTACATATCATGCTGATCAAGTTATTTCATTAAAAATTCATGATGTAATTCTTGATTATTCATCTATTATTAATTTATTATTTAATCGACATAATTTTATTAATCTTCAATCATGTACATTTCTTTCACTTAATCCATCAACAAAACTTGAGAATATTTTAAAACAAATTCAAAGTCTAAATAGACTTGTCACATTCAGTCTTTATGAACTATATATTAATAAAAAAAGAAATAGATAAATGAAATTTAACTCGAATGATTTTAATGAACATATCAAATTCTACTTCAATATCTTCGAATCTTACATAAGTTCATTTATGTATACATGGTAATAGTTCTGTACGTCGTTCTACAATTTTATCAATTTTTCGTGTTTGTTATGGAATTTGACATTAACACTTAACAATAGAACATAAAAATTCAGTTGAAAATAATAATATCAAGTAAGTTTTCATGTAGTAAATATTTTAGATGATAAATGTGTAAAAGGATAATGATTAAAAATGAAAATGAAATGTTTTTTTTTTGTTTTAGTATTCCAAATTATCTTTTAATGATCATCCAATATTACCACAATTGATATCTTTCAATTTAAAAATATTTATTGTATGTGATATTAATACAATTGCTTATATTTTACATTGTATGCATAATCTTAATCGTTTTAATTTTTTTCTTCCGAGACAAATAGAGCACTGCCATATTATCTTAAATTGTTTAATGGTTATGTATGGCAACACATATCAAAACGTTATGCTCCATGTTTATCTAAATTCGAATTTCATATATCAGTTTCTAAAAGAATTTCAAAATTAAATTTAGATTTTATTATCAATTCATTTGAATATTTTGTCAGAAAATATCCTAATTGGAATTTGATTATTAATCGATGGAAACTTCAGGTAAACAAAACTGATTTAACGAATTAAAGATAATGAAAGATGTGAATAAGATCTTATCGAAAAACTAATACTTTTTGATAAATACATTTAAATTGTAAAAAAGAAATTTACATGAATTGTGATTATTATGACTTGATCAAAATTAAAATGAGAAGAATATTTATTTTATTTTCGGCTTAGAAATCTTTACTTTAATTTAAAAATAAATTCATGTAGTTGTAATATTGACATATGATAAGTACATGATGAATAAAAAATTGAATATTTTGATAAGAGAAGAATTTCGTTAATATTAAAAAAATATATTTCTTTTCCTTTTTTAGAAAAATTTGTCATGTTACGAACACTTAATTATTGCAAATATCAATCAAACCTTAAGTTAATAAATCCATGTTTTAATTCTGAATCATATGAAACACGATCAAGCAGAACATAAATGATCATCGTATTTTTTTTAGTCACATATAAAAGATTTAGGAATATACTTGACAAAGACAAGATCAACTATTATTTGGTCTTCTCCTTTATATGAAAAAAATTATTGCATAATGGTAAGAAGAATTTAATTTAATTTAATTTTCATTTATTTAAAGAGAACAATTCACTTTATATTATAATATATAGATGATTTTAATAGTAGAATTTATTATTTTTTTTCTTTTAGTTATCTTCCGTCAAACAACTGATGATGATGATGATGCACAACAAAATGTTACTTATCTTTCATATCTTGTAGATTTATCTAATGTAACTAAATTAGATTTTACTTTAACATTTTGTATATGTCAATGGAAAACTATTCAATTTATTATACAGTAAGTATTCTTTATATTTCTAGAAGATATTTTATTATTGATATTTTGAAAGAAGATATATATTATTTCATATTATAAATAATATAATATTCTTATAAATAATAATTACTGATATTAAATGAAAATAATAATGAGGAAATTTTTTTGTTTTTCTTTTAGAGCATGTCCAAATGTGACTAAAACTGTAATTGGTACTCGATTATTGATGTTATCAAAATTAATCGATAATTCATTACTTATTTCAATATTTAAACAAATTAAAATGATCAAATCAATAACAGAAAAATTTTAATTTTCTTCAAATTTTGCATTAAATTTTTTTTAATGTTTTCCATGACTTATTTATATTGAACTTCAAGTATTTTCACGTGATTATATTATTGAAAAACGTCGACAAAATTTTCCTGATAATATCATTGATGAAAAAATAGTCTTTGTGAAAAATAATGGAGAAGCGATAGAAATTTATTTAATGTGATTTTATATAAATATAGATGTTTTTATTTTTTATTTAAATAAAAATAAAATAATTATGAAAATGTAAAAAATGTTGTTTAAGTAATTTTTGTTTGAAGTGGCAAAGATAAAGTCCCAGTGCGTTCGATAGTTTAGAAAGTTAGTGAAAATGAAAGTCAATATTATCGATTGTTTTAGCTTGTTTTTATATTAGAATTATTGACGAATAATTTGTTAAACAATTTGAAGACAAAGTTCATTCATTTGAAATGACAAATACAAATATCGGGAGAAATTTTGAATAGTGAACATGATCATTTATGATGGCGAAAAGATGAATTTTAATGTTAATTTATCTGTCTGTCGATATTTTTTGTCAAATATTAACTAACAGTGCTTGATATTGCATACGTTTCTTGCGATTAATGAGAGTAAGTTGTGTTTTCTTTTGCAACAATCAATTTTCTATGTTGTAGTTTTTATGAATTCTTTTCCAATAATTTCTAGATATTGTTACTCATTTAAAGCTAATAGAAACTTGAAGATCTTCAATTGTCATCGCTACCGATCAAAAACAGTGTCACGACTGGATAGCATCATTAAAATAACTGGTGACCCTTAGAGTAGCTGGGGTCATAAAAAAACTACATAATAATGGTCTTGGTTGTTAATCTGCATTTCAAACTCTATTTATTAAATTGAAGTGCTGTGATGATAGTAAAAATCTAAGCCAATTCAAAACCGACGGAATCTCAGTCGATTGAATTGCATCTCTAATTGAAAGATATCGAGCCTTGACTGGGCACTTGAATATATTATTTTCGAATGATGTCTTATCTATTTTGATTTAACAAATATTCATTAATATACATGTATATATATATATTCCTTTCATATTTATTATGTTCATTTATTTAATATTTTCTAGATCTTAACCTACTCATTCATCATCTAAAATCATGACTTAATGTAATGAGACTATGACGAATGAAACATTATAATAAGTTATGTCTTGTTCAACAAGTGTTAGATAGAAAATTTTCTGTACTTGATACTAAAACAAATATAATATATTCTATCACAAATAAATAAAATCATCTTATTCTTGCTAATAATTTAGTTTATTATGTTGATCAATATTTTCTTGAAAAAGACATATCATATTTGCAGTCTATTATTGACTGATTCATTCTTGTTTTTGTACATTGAAAGAATCAATTCTTCGTTTTAATTATAATATTTATCAAATTACACCAATAAAAAGTGAAAAACTTCATCATATATTAGATGATATTCGAAATAGTATACAAACATTGAACTATCATCAAATAGCAGTGTATGAAGAAAACAAAAAATTGAACAAGAAAAATTATCTTTCAAAAAAAAAGATGTTACATAGATTACGTATGTATTCATCAATATCTTTGATTATGTTTTGCCAATAAAATAGTTCATCATCTTGATTTTTATATCAATGAAATGCAAATCAGTAAAGCGCGTCGATAGTAGGGAAATATATAACAAAATTAAGTTGCCAGTTATTTACTTCAAACGTTGAATTCTTATGGACCAGACATTTTGAGATCTATAATTCAAATATAATAAGTGTTTCTTTTCACATTTTCTTTCAACGAAATATGGTGTCATTTCTGACTCTATATTATCAAACAGTGTCTTATTACAGCTCTCAAATGCCATAAAATATCGAATAGAAAAAGTTAATAGCTAGATATTTTCATGATTTTATCATTGTATCTCATATCATTTTGTATTTATCTTTGTAGAACAGTTATCAAAGTCGGTTTTCATGTTCTGTTAACAAGATTCAGCACTATCTTCGTAGTTAAATAATTCGATTGATCTCTACTGGGTGAAAAGAATTCATTCAACATATATTATTGCTATATATGTATATATACGCCTGGAAAAAATAAGCTGTAGTCTGTATTTTGGGGATATCGTTATCATAGCAACGTATTTTTAAAAAAATAATGATATATTCTGAAAGAGCGTGAAGTTTTCTATCAGCCTGTATATTGGCCTTTTCGTTTGAATATATGTATTATCAAAAAAAATTGAGTGTAATGAAGGCACCCTCATGTCCAGATTTCCACAGGCTTGATTTTGTCACTGTCACTAAAAATTAGTTTTTAAAATTTTTCATCACTATAGAATTACCTTTTGAGAAAAGTAATTATATATTCTTATAGAGCTTGAAATTCTCTATCATCCTATGTATTTGTTAACTATTTTGCAGTTATGTGCTGTCATACATTTTATCAACTAAAAGTAATCCAATGATNAATTTGGAAAAGCTATTCAAAATTAAATTTAGACTTTATTGTCAATTCATTTCAATATTTTGTTAGAAAATATTCTAATTGGAATATGATTATTGATCGATGGAATCTTGTTACTGAAACTCCAGGTAAAATAAAAATTAATTTAACGAATTTAAAATAATGAAGGATGAGAATGAGGGCTTACACTGGAAAACTAAGCTGTTTGATAAGTAAATTTTGTTTGAAAAAGAGGAATTTCAGTGAGTTTTGACTGTCTACTTATAAATCTTTACTTTAACTTTAAACTAAATTCATGTAGTTGTAATATTCACAAATTATAAATAAATGATGAATAAACAAGTGAATATTTTGAAAAGAGAAGATTTTCATTCATATGTAAAAATATATTTCGTTTCCTTTTTTTTCTAGAAGAATTTGTCATGTTACGTACATTTAATTATTGCAAATATAAATCAAGTGTTAGGATCTTAATTCCATATGTTAATTCTGGATCATATGAGACACGATCAACAACAACAATAAAAGATCATCATCATCTTTTTTATTCAGATATAAGAGATTTAAGAGTATTTTTGACAAAGACAAAATCGAATATTACTTGGTCTTCTCCTTTATATAGTAAAGTCAATTATCTCTTCATACAAATAGGAATAATACTTTATTCATCGTTGTGGAATAAATTATTGAATACTGGTAAGAAGAATCTTTGTTTTTATTTATTTAAACAGAATAATTCGTTTTATATTATCATATATAGATGAATTTGATAATAGAATTTTTCATTTTTTTTTTCTGTTAGTTATTTCTCGTGAAACAACTGATGATGAGGCACAACAATATGTTACTTATCTTTCATATTTGGTAGATTTATCCAATATAACTGAATTAGAATTTTCATCACAATATCGTATATATCAATGGAAAAGTATTCAATTTATTTTACAGTAAGTATTCTTCAAATGTTTCTAGAAGATATCTCATTCTTGATATTCTTAAATAGAATATATTTATTGATTATTAGAGATAATATCATACTCTATAGAATAATAATCATTGGTATTAAATCTAAGTATAATAAGTAAATTGTTTTTAGAGCATGTACAAATGTGACTGGTATTAGAATTAGTACTCGATTATTGATGTTATCAAAATTAATCGATAATCCATTACTTATTCCAAAATTCAAACAAATTAAAATGATGAAATTAATAAGAGAAAAAATTTATTGTACATCAAATTTTGCATCAAAATTTGTTCAACGTTTTCCATCACTTGTTAATATTGAACTTCATGTATTTTCATTCGATAATTGTGTATCTATTATGAATACATTTCTTACTTGTCTTGAAAATTTATTTTATGTTAAAATCAATTATTCTCAAGATACATTATTCGATGATCCTTTTTCATGTGATTATATTATTGAGAAGCGTCGACACAGTTTTCCTGGTAATATTATTGATGAAGAAAAAGTCATTGTGAAGAATAATGAAGACGTGATAGAAATTTGGTTAATATGATTTTGTATACGTACAAATTTTTTTTGTTGCTTAAATAAAAAGAAAATAATGATGAAATGCAAATTGCCGTTAAAGTTATTTTTATTTTAATCGGCAGAGACTTTCTCAGTGTTGAATAGTTTACACCATTAGTGAAAACTTAAGTCGATATTATAGATTGTTTTAGGTTGTTTTTTTTTTTTTTGAAGAAGAAATTTTTGACGAATAATTATTAAACAGTTTGAAGACATACTTTATTCATTTTTTGAAATGATAAATACAAAAATCTGAGGAAATTTTGGATAGTGAACATGATTATTTATGATGCTGAAAAGATGAATTTTAATGTTAATCTATCTTTATATTGGTATTTTTTTATCAAATATTAATCAATAGTTTTTGATCGATTCTCTATATTGTATACATTTCTTGGTAGTTAATCAGAATGAGTTGTGTTTTCTTCTGCAACAATCAACTTTTCCATGTTGTAGTTTTATGAATTCTTTTCTAATAATTCCTAGTCATTGTTTCTCATTGAAAGCTAATACTAACTTAAAGATCTTCAGTTGTCATCACTGTCGATTAGAAATAGTGTTTTGACCGGATAGAACTGTTGTAGTTGAGATTGGAATTGCATTTTTGTTTTTGTTTCTTAATTGATTTGTGCACTAAACTATATAAAGTTTTGTTTTCTTTTTATATCAGGTATGTCTATTTGTTTTAAATTAAAAACTATAGTATTTTGGAATGTGATCAATAACAAATATTCATCAATAGTTTTCTTGCATCTCTGTTTATTTCTAAATTGTTTTTAACTTACAATTTGTAATAATAAATAGATATTGCTGAATGGTGGAATATGAATGTTTGAAAATTCTTGGGACACCGGGCCATACAGCAATTGGTTAAAACGAATTTAGAATTGCTGAGTCATTTATTTTAATATACTATCAATTTTTTCAAACGGCCGGGACGTCGGGACATACAGCAATTGGTTAAAACGAATTTTAGAATCGCTGAGTCATTTTTTTATATAGTCTTAAGTTTTTTAAAAACTGGGGATGTGGGGGCATAGCAGCTCCCTAGAAACAAATTCAAAACAACTTTGTTATTTGGGATTTGTTTTTTTTAAACATTTATGTTTTTTTTTAAATATTTTTCTGACCTGGAGCAATGTCACAGAAGAAAAGACACTATTCTGTAGTTTTGTTAATGTTTTAATGTTGAAAAAGTATAATGAAGACTTTTTCAAAATTTAATTTTGTTTTGTA